GGCGAGCTAAGAAAATGTTGATCTCCCTGAGCTTGGCCTTCATAATTCCATTCCATCACAGCACGGCTTGAATCCTCTCATGCAATTGGGGAACCGAGAAATGCTAATTATCTGCACGCCCTTGCTCAATACTAATTTTTGTAGTCCTTTACTCAAAATGAATTGTTGATACTCCCTCCTTCAATGCAACTTGCTTATATGTAATGGGATGTGCGAATAACCTTGGGACACAGGAGGAAGAGCCACAGCCCAGACAACAGTCTGATAAGAGGAATCAGACTGCAAAGGGAGGCTGGAGGTGGGGAAAACATCTCAGAAGGGACCCTCCCTACTTCTCTGGAAAGTAAAGGCAAGGGTGGGGAGAGATGTGCTTTCAGACTTGCAGATTCTGTTACTGTAACCTTACAATTAAAGTAGTGTTAGTACTCATGCTTTGTGCTTCTTGTCTGGACTACCTTGAAAGGCTGACATTATACTAATTCAGTACTAATTGTTTGTCATCCCTCCTTTCAAGTGAAAACTTCAGCAAAAGAAGATCAGCCTGGTCTTCAGAAATGGCCTTATCATTAGGGAAAGTAAGGCAACTGCCTCAGGAGACAGCATAAGGGCGAGTGCATTGCAGGGTTGGAATTCAGAGCTGTGGTTCCATTAGCACATCCCCTGCTATCTTGTGTGTTATAGGACATTGTCCCATTGCCAGGTTCAGCTGTCACTTGGATCATCTTTGGCCTAGCACTATTTGATTCTTAACTCCGGACAGCAAAATGGCTTGAACTGCCCTGCCTGTCTTCACACTAGATTTAAATCCCAGTAATCATTCTGTTGTTGATTTTCTTTGAAAGAGGAGGAGGAGAAGGTGGACAGCATAATTTCTAAATGTAGAATTTTCTAGAAGCTGCTTAAAAGTATAGAAACATAAGAGCAGAGGACAGAGGAATACAGGTTTCAACTGCTATCTTAATGCCAATGGGGAGGGGACCAGAAAAGCCTCAGAGGGTCCAGAATCCAGCAGTGTTTTTGTAGGTAGCAGGATATGAATAGATGTGGTCCAGCTGTGGTTCTGTAGACAGTGGAATGTGAACAGACGTGGTTGATTAACTTCATATGGGAGAAGAATGTTCTTTAGCTATCCTGGTCCTAAATGCCATGCTAGATGAATAGACTTCATAGAGTCTGGTGTTAGAGCTTTCAACATCATCAAATGTTGATTTCCAATTTATTAGAAAACGACTTGGCTTGTTTTTGTCCTGTTAACAGCAGTTTGAGATACAGAACGCAGCAGGTAAATGTCTTCTACATGGTGATAAGTGTGAACACCTGCTGATACTAACATATTGTGAAGCTGATGTTCATGTCAAAGAGTAAACAATGAGAAGTTGGGCCCGATATATGTGCATTGTGAATATGTGCTTGCAATAACCTCTTTGCAATTGTTGTTCCTCCTCTTATTTCTGAAACACTTCAGTTAAATTGGGGAGACGGTATTTTTAATTCAAGCAAAATCTGTTCTTTTTTCGGTCTCCAATTGCAGCCGTCTGCCCACCTCTCCCACTAGCATTGTGGTGACAGATGTACAATATAATCAGGGAACGCTTCTTTCTGAATTTATTTGAATCAATTAATCAATGAAACTGTGCTGATGAAGTTCAGTACAGTTCTTGTGCTTGTTTTAGTTTGAGTAAGATTGCCACCTGCTGCTCTAAATATTCAGCAGGAGGTACACATACAACCAGCTCTGTTTGTTGCAAGCAGCTGAGTGATGCTAGATTGCTAAAATGCCTATGCAGCACTTGTAAGGGTTTCTCAGACAGATACTTGCCCTTTGGATTCCCTCTGAACACAAACGAACAAGCAATCTAATCCCATATTGGCCTCAGAGCTGTTATGATACTAAGTTATGGAACAAACTGTCCTGTCCATGGGACAATTGTTCTCATGAACAAGCAACAATGGAAAGACAACAAAAAATTCAGCGGAATGGTTTGTCAGCAATATATTGCAAAAGAATCAATACTGGGTTAGTAATTGGAATATTAGTTAGTAATTAGTAACTAATAAGTAATTACATATTGGGATACGTAATGTGGTGTCTGCAGTCATTCATATGCTCATGAATACCCTTCATAAGAATGCAAAACTATAAGAAGAACCCTGAGACTGGATCAAACCAAAGCACCATCTCGTCCAGCATGACTATGCTATGATACGAGGAGTAGCACCGGAGGAAGTAACCAAATGTGTTTCCCATCTAGAAATAGTGGTTTGGTCCAACATTTCAGGGCAGCCTTGATGTGAGTCTTGGCAGGCTGTTGAAGGTGCAGAACAACTGTTCTGCATCAATCCCTAGTATTTCTAAATGTTTCTCAAACAATTTCAGTTTCAGTTTCTATCTGGATGATAGGAATGAAACATCCTCTCTCACACCCATGTGCAAGAAGGGTGGTAGCACCCTTAGAGGAGTGCCAATTGTCCATTTGTCTATGTTTCTGCAGGCCTTCTTGGTGGATGTTCTTTGCAAACATCTATGGAACTATTAAAGTTAGGGATCCTGTGCACTCTGTTGCTGTAGCAAGGAGTAATGACTGCAGTGTGACAGTTGTGAAGATGTTCAGGTCTCCAGCGTAGCCTCCAGAGGCAGTCAGGATACTGAGTTCCTAATGCTGGTTCAAGGGATTAGGGTTCTTTCTGTTCCCTTTTATTTCTTGCTCCAGTATTCAGACTAGAGAGCAGTCAATGCATACTTGAGGGTAGGATGAGGGTAGTCTGCCGTGTTAAATTGCCAGAGAAATCCAATAAAAGGCAAAGATAGCATTGTTGTACTGGGAATATGAGATAAAGATAGCCTGGTTCTGATGATGTAGACTCTGATTAGACTCCACACAGAGGATTAGAGAAGTTAACCTTCCTTTTGATGACTAACGTAAATGAAGATAACACTCTCAGAAATTGCAGGGGCGATAAAAGGACACCATGTGATCATCGGCCTATTCATCCTGAGATAGTTTTGCCTTTTTTTTTTTTTTTTAGATTTAATCTCAACAGCATTTAATTCCTATCTCTTTCAATCTGTCTCTTTTTAGCCTCATACCCCAGATTCATCATGAGGCCGTAGCATTGCCTATTTTAAGCCAGAGAACATGCTTTGCATATTGAAGGTCCAGGGTTGAGTTTCTGGCAACTCCTCCCCTTTTCCTTTGTGATATCCCTTTGTTGCCTGAACAGTCCCAAGCTAGGGGTAGGATCATGTGGTCAGCAATTAGTAGGCATGAATTCATTATAGGGCTCTAGGGAGCCCCACTTTCAAACCCAAAGGCTTGCTCTAGAATTTTGGAGGACTTTCTAGTAGCAGCCTTCTTAAGAACAGCAGACGGCATAAAAGTAAAAAGAGAAATTTAGGAAGTGATCGGATAGATCATCACAAAGTCCTTAGCAACAGATCTGCACTGAATGAGGGATTCTGTTACAGGAAATGGATTTATATCATTATGGCTTTGGGGTATAGCCTGAGAAAAACAAAACACTTTTCTTTTACTTCAACATGACCAGAGAGGTAATTAATGCCCTAATGCTCCCATCTGTCTCTTCCATCAGTTGGACAAAGGGGCATAGAATTAGTTTAATTTTAACCTCCTGAAGATACCATTCTAATTATAAGGGAAACTGTTCCTTCACTACTGGGAAACCAGACAGCACCAGTACAACCTTGTGATATTAAAGGATTAAAGGACATAAATAACACAAGCCTGCATCATTTGCTATAAATCAAACCAAGGGTCATAAATGGAAATGACTCGAAATTAAAGATGCCTGTGGATGCAAGCCCCAAGGAAAGGTTTTCCCAGCTTATCGGAAGTATCAACATAACTAATGGCTCATCAAGGTTCGGCATGACCTTTGTTTGCAACTACAGGGAGGGCAACAGCTTGGAAGGAGGGGTGGGGGAAGCATCAAAACAAGGATGCCA